CGATGGGCTGCCTCCTACTAGGGATCAAGCCCGCAACCCAGGCATGTGCTCTGACTGGAAATTGAACCTCCAAGTTCATGATCTCCTGGTTCATGACCTCCTGGTTCATAGGTCAACACTCAACCACTGAGCCATACTGACTGGGCTATTTACATTAATATATTTTATACCATACTGTCCAGATTCATCTACTCCTTTTTTTGTGCGTGTGCACCCATATACACATGTATTTCATGTTAATCCCATATGTAAATCACAGTGTCTTGATCTCAGGTAAAATCTTTCTCAAAACATAGTGGGGTCTCCAAGCTGGCATGAATTAAGGAAGAAAGCTGGACTGAAAACTAGTCTGGCCAGAGGCCTGGATGATGTGGAAGTGAAGGGAGGTCCAGAGTAACCCAGATTTGGTCAGTGCTAACACATGTGTGCAAGTGGATTCAATCTGATGGCAGCTTCCAGTTCTTTTTATTTTTTTATTGATTTCATAGAGGGAGGGAGAGAGGAATAGAAACATCAGTGATAAGGATTCGAGAATCATTGATGGACTGCCTCCTACACACCCCGCACTAGGGATGGACCCCGCAAACTAGGCATGTGTCCCGATCAAGAATTGAATCATTGCAGGGAGGGGCTGTGGGCCAATCCGGGTGGTGGGGGCCCATTGTGGGTGTAGCCGGAGGCCAACCTCCCTTGGCCCCTTCCCCTGGCTAGCCCGTCCCCCTATTGAGGTGGGGGGGGGGGCAATTGGGAGCAGGCCACACCCACTATTGGTTCACAGGTCAATGCTCAACCACTGAACCACACCAGCCAGGCAGCTTCCAGTTCTGAGTGGCCCACATGAGTTGAAGGAGATCCCAGTTGGAAAAATAAGGGGATAAGTTTCCTCCTCCACAGAAAAGGGACTTCCAATAATTTCACTTAAGCAAGTGGATTTGTATTCAAGATGGTGGGGATATATATCAGGAAACCAAGACAGAAGCCAAGTGATAGGAGGTAACAGGAAAAGCTGTGATCCTAAAAGCATATGCATGTAAGTTTGAAGCAGCAAAACAAATTTCAGACTAATGGGCTGGCAAGGCAAACAACAGTGCTCTGATTTACTAGTGACTTTATTTAGGACTGACCCAGGAACTCAGAGGTACGAAGCAGACAAAAATCTTCTATATATAAAAAAAAGCCAGTGACCGGAATGCCGTAACAACCGGAATGATCGGTCGCTATGACACCCACTGCAGCCAGTGAACCGGCTCAATTGTGGGTGTGGCCTGCTCCCAATTGCCCCTCCCATCTCAACAGGGGGAGGGGCTGGCCAGGGGAAGGGGCCGAGGGAGGTTGGCCTCCAGCTACACCCACAATGGGCCCCCACCACCCCGATTGGCCCACAGCCCCTCCCTGCAGCTGACCCCGCCTTTGATCACCCCCTCTACCCCAATAAGGGGCGGTGCCAGCTGGCCAACCACCTGCAGCCCTTCCCCCCAGCCAGCTCCTCCCCCTATCCGCCCCCACACACACCAATTGGGGGTGGGGCTGGCTGGCAAACCTCCCACAGCCCCCCCCAGCCCCATTAGGGGGCAAGGCCGGCTGGCACACTACCCACAGCCCCTCCCCATAGCCGGCCCCGCCCACAATCAGCCCCCCCCTCACCCCAATCAGGGGTGGGGCCCACCGGCCAATCGCCCACAGCCCTTTCCCCCAGCTGGCCTGGCCCTGATCTGCCAATTGGGGTCTGGCTGGCTGGGCCCCACCCGTGCACGAATTCGTGCACTGGGCCTCTAGTAATGATAACAAAATGAAAGCAGCAACTATTCTTTTTTCTTATTTTTTAATTGAATCAATTGGGGTGACGTTGGTTAATGAAATTATATAGGTTTCAGGTATACAATTCTATAATACATCATCTATATATTGTATTTTGTGTTTACCACCCCAAGTCAAGTCTCCTTCCATTACCATCTGTTCCCCCTATGCCCTCTTTACCTCCTCCTACCCCTCAGTAGCAACTATTCTTTTTTTTTTTAATGTGTTTTTATTGATTTTTTAGAGAGAGAGGAAGGGAGAGGGAGAGAAGATAGAAACATCAATGATAGAGAAACACAGATCTGCTGCCTCCTGCACACCCCCTACTGGAGATGGAGCCCACAACCCGGGCATATGCCCTGACCAGGAATCAAACCTCTTGGTGCATGGGATGATGTTCAATCCACTGAGCCACACTGGCTGGATGCAACTATGCCTTATAAAACATTTACTAATGCTAGTACTATGATAAGGGTTTATGTACATTATCTTACTTAATTTCACAACAAACATCTGAGGTAGGTATCTTTTTCTCTAATTGAGCCCCCTGTAAACTTTGAGTATAAAAGTATTTTCATGCATAATGATCTAATAAAGGGAATGAGAATTCTAGAACATGGTTGGAGATGTTTACACCAGTGTTGACTGATTTGTACTGATCCATCCTTACTAATATCCAGTCGCTGCTTCAAACAACAGTATGTGTTGTGATTGCGAAGGTTATATTAAAACAGCAGCAAAGCTACCAAGTCCATCCAGGGATCAAACTCATAATCTTGGCTTTATTATTAAGCATCACACTGAAATCACTGGACTTAACAATCACCAATACCCACAGCACTCAATACCACATAATCTCTTTATGTCTATTTTAAAATAGAATAAGGTAGAATCCTAACATTGAAATATATAAAATGAGACCACACAATTGATGTCAAAACATGCTCAAATTTAAATTTGTGAAATCATCAAGTCTGGGTTACTCTATGTTGAGAACTGCAGTCATAGAACACTTGAACAAGAGAAATGAAAAGTTATGTCGAGTGATACCAAGTTAATACAAAATTCAGAATCAAAGATAACTAAAGAAACCCTATACTCAAAAACAAGAACCAAATCTGCTACAAGGGTAACACAAGGTCCAGTTATACTTATGAAACAAAACAGATAAGAACATAATCAAGGACAGAGAGAATGTGTTGTCAATTTAAGGCCAAGTTGGCCAACTAAAATTCAAAAACATCATATTGTATTGCCTAAATGGAGACCTGAAAATGTCACAGATGTCACATTTGGATTAAGGAACCTTAAATGGGAGGTCAAATAATGAGGAATGAAATCTGTACTCTCCTGTTTAATCAATCAGCAGTTGACAACTTCCATTTTAGGACAGAACAGATGCAGACTGGGTGGCCAATAGGCCGCTCAAACAAATATATTTTGTGTTGAACTGAGGTGAACACAAATAAATGCCTTAGAAATGCACTGATTTTCTTTTTAAAAAAATATATTTTATTGATTTTTTTATAGAGAGGAAGGGAGAGGGATAGAGAGTTAGAAACATCGATGAGAGAGAAACATTGATCAGCTGCCTCCTGCACACTCCCTACTGGGGATATGCCCACAACCAAGGTACATGCGCTTGACCGGAATCGAACCTGGGACGCTTGAGTCCTCAGGCTGATGCTCTATCCACTGAGCCAAACCGGTTAGGGCAGAAATGCAGTGATTTTCAAGGAACATGGCATGGTTATGAACCTGTGTTTGGTTTACCATCAGTAGCTTAAGACTAATGTGCTGAGCAAATGTGTGTATTCTCTTAACACATTATATCTTGCTATATATATAGCTTAATGTTATGGTACTGAAGATGCTGAAACATTTAATCATATATTCTGGTGAATGGCACTCTCCTCCCCCTTCTGATCAATACACACCACATCATAATGAATAACTACGCTTGACTCTTTCCCAAGGTTTCTTGTTCCAGCTTGCTGAAAGCAAAAACGCTCTTATTTAGAGACTTCAATTCCAGGAAATAGTCATTTGTAGAGTCTGCGCTCATCAGTGGAAATGAAAACTTTACCAAGAATCATAGGACACAGCACAACTCTTAGAAAATGAAATTAATGTCCTTATTAGACAATAAAGGCTTGTCAATTAAATTCGTTTGATATATGGAATTTAATATATATTGAATTGAATTATTCAAGTAAAGCAGATAATGCATATTTAACATGTTATTCAAAAATGCCCTTCTTTAACATAAAGACATAGAAAAGTTCATACATTATACTCTAAAGAAGCATGTCAAACTCGCATCTGATGGGCTGCATGCAGCATGCGGCCCGCTGGCTACGAGTTTGATATGCTTGCTCTAAACTGTAAATATCAGGCTATAAAAGTGTATCCAGATTATAACAATTTTAAAAATGTAGATATGCATTAAAACAGATATATAGTAATTATATCAAGGTGATGAACTATGATATTTTTCTCATCTTTTCCTGGGTACTTTTACTAATCTGATTACATTATTTCAATAGTAGAAAATAAATCAAATAAAAATAAAATGAAATTAAAAGCTGATTTTGAAATCAGGCTTGAAAGATCTATTTCCTGCTTCTAAGTATCAATCTTCTTTTAAAATGCTTTCAGCTAAGTCTTCCCTTAGTGCCACCAATGAATACTACACATTGCCCCATTAGCTCCAGGTGCTAGAAAACAGTTTTTATAAAAAATGTAAATTTATTTTTCAATCCAATGTTACTATTATTTCTAGTATTTTTACTCAGTTTACTCCATGCAGCTCTCTTTAATCTATAGCCTGGTTTAGTGTATTATTGCCACACTTGATGAGAGGAAGCAAGGAAAGCATTAGCAACATTTTCAAAAATCTGGTGCAAGCCAATTCAGAAGGAAAATTCACATTTTTATTAACCAATTTAATCACCTTCCTCTTACAACAGGTTAAGCCACTGGTGGGAAATATAACTCAATCTTATTGTTAATCTCACAAAGTATAAGGTAGTAACTTTACTAAACACTAAAAACCATAACAACTGAAAGTCTTTGTGGAAAGAGAAAGGTAGGAATAAAAATAGTGGATTTTACTAAATTATAAATGAAGGAATTTGGTAAGATAGAGCAACAAGGCATGTGATTTACATATTGAAAAAAAAAGCAGAGGAGACTAGAAAAGGTAAGGTTTTTTTTAAGTATTTATACACATTTTTGTTTCATTCATAGTGATGCAAGTAATAGACACTCAAAAACAAAAAAATACAAACAGCTACAAGCACTTTGCAAATTCAAGTTATGGGTTACATATTAGAGAATGACTAATCCAATTGCTAGAGTTTGGAATATAACCAACATGCCCGTTGCTGGTTATCTCAAACTCATCTCTAATAATATGACTGCCTTATGTTTGTGTAAAAACTGTTTTTCCAAATGCTTTCACGTGGTTATTTCTTTTAATCCTTTCCAAAGTCCACTGAGGTTAAGTGGATAACTCCTACTCAAAGTTTATCATTGGTAAGAGTCCAGACCAAAAAAGTTTTTTAACCATCCAATGTTCATTCAATCATGCACCTCCAATTGCTTTAATGCCTCCAACTTCTGTGATTCCAGGGCACAGTGGACATTCAACAATTATGTAATAAACAAAACAAAAAATTTGTCTAAAAAAAGTAAATAAAATTAGAATACAATTGAGGGTAGAAATGCCCTGTGCCTCACTAGTACACCATGTGATCAACATACCGCATCGCAATGAATAACTACAGCTTGACCCTCTCCAAGGGTTCTTGTTCCTGCTTGCTGAAAGAAAAAGTCTCTTCTTTAGAACTCCAAACTGACTGTGCAGCTGTGTCAAAGAATGTGAATATCTACTCTGAAAAAATATATAATTTATCATATTTAGAGAACTGATATTGTCGTGCCTAAGGGACAGATACAGCTTCCCAAAGTTGAGAATAATTTCAAAAACTAAAATGTTACTATACACTAAGAGATCCAAAGAGTAGCGAATAAACCTTGAGCTGACCTTGTTTCAGTCCCTGGGCACATGCTGCCCACCTCTCCACAACCAAGTGTGATTTTTTTTTTCTTTCTTGCTCTTACTGAAGAAGCACAAGGAGGACAGTTACACAAATTAAATGATCCTGGGATTAAATCCTGAATGACCTCCATTCCAAACTAGATTTGTAGATATCAGCTTGTTTCAATTCAATAACCCCAATGCCCTTCAAATATTCTATTGTAATAATGCTGTCAATACTGTTAGCATCTTCTACAATGAACAACAACAACAAAAAGCATTAAATGTTCTCTGAATTTGGGGAACATTTTAAGCCAAACAGTGAAAATCACTACATTGTGTGTACCCCTCCCATTGGGATTTTAGAGAGAGTGGAAGAAGAATCATACAAAGACGACCAATCACATCAAAAAGCAGAAATGTCCCTGCATGGGAGCAGCCTAGAAAGACTTTGTGAAGTGGTGAGATTTAGGATATTTTTTGGATGATGGGTCTCCATTATGGTCAAATTGTGTTGTATTCTTTATTTCCTTTTAAAATAAGGATGGGGCCCTAACTGGTTTGGCTCAGTGGATAGAGCATTGGCCTCCAGACTGAAGGGTCCCGGGTTCGATTCCGATTAAGGGCATGTACCTCAGTTGCAGGCACATCCCCAGTAGGGAGTGTGCAGGAGGCAGCTGATTGATGTTTCTCTCTCATTGATGTTTCTAACTCTCTATCCCTCTCCCTTCCTCTCTATAAAAAATCAATAAAATATATTTTATAAATAAATAAATAAAATAAGGGTGGGAAGGGCTGATATATTATTTAGAAGTTTAGAACCACCTATCTAGTAAAGTTATACTCAAAAGGGGTCTTTTTAAACCACTCAGATTTCTACCTCCAACTCCAATTCCAGATCTCAATAAATACAACTCACCTCACCCCATTTGACCTCTACCTCAACCCCACCCTCCAGCCACCTCCTTTGTAGTGAGGCTGCCATTTTTGCTGCAATGTGGTATAACCCTCAAGTATAGGAGTAGAGGGAAAGTTGTAAGAATCGAGGTGAGGGGAGGAGGAGAGGCCACACACTCCGGGCCGAGCATTTACAAAATCCTGCTACTTACCGGTACATATTTATCATTATTTCAAAATTAGACTGCTCCCACATTGTCCTTTTGTAGCTGCTGTTAGAGCATCCATGTGTTACATGCCAATGTTGAAAACTGTCTATATTATTTTTATTACTCAGTTTTGGCAATTTCTTCACATTTGAATATACCAGGAATATAAAGTTGGATATCTACTCCAGGGTCCTCCGCTCACTAGAATCACTGGGTCTAGTTTCTAGAAGCCAAAATAATGGGCACTGAGATGGGAGAACTCACCTAAATGTCAAATTAAACTTTTATAGGGAGGGCTGAAGGGATTAAAACTGCAGTTTTTTAAGTTTATTCTATTTCTGGGATGTCTGCCAGCAAAATCCACAGCACAAAGAAGACTTGAGCTGCTAGTTGTGGGTCCTCAAGCAATTCTCTCAACTTGTCTGGGCCGCTATTGCCTCAACTGTCTTTAAAAAAAAAAAAAAAAAAAGTTTCAACCAGCTGGCCCCGTCAAGGTCCCCTTCAAGTTTTAAAATCAATTTTGTCAATAATTATAGAAGTACTAAAAATTATGTTCTATATATAAAATGCCTAATAATTTCAAAAAACGAAGGACAAAGGAACCTCAAATATAATTCTTAAACATTCAGAAAGACTTCATAATAACTGTGAGATGTCATGAAATTGCCCCTTTGGCTTAGCTGTCATTTGCTTCAAATAAAGCCTGAGCCAGAGGAAAACTATTTTAACACTCTGAGAAGATTAAATAGTTAATCCACCGGGAAACCATGTTGAAACACAGAATTCACAAATCCCCTTCCCAGAGACAAGCATTGAAAATAGCAAACATTTGTTTTATTTTGCGTAAAATTATTCTAATGATATACTGCATACAAATACTTTCTATTATTTGGCATGCGTTTTCATTGTTGTGTTTTTTCTTCCTGTTCTAAAACTCAGATAAAGGTCATGTCTAATGTTGACAGAAAACAACCATTTATAAGTCAGAGTCTCACAGGTGAGTTGTAACTTGTCTTGGGGGAAAACATCCATAATAATGAAAATTCCAAGTCCCCTTCTTTGAGGAGAAATTGATGTGAATTGGAAGATTGGGCAGATTATGGAATTAACTGCCAAGATAATTTCTGCTTTCATGGCTTCACTAAACTGGAATTTCTAGTGCATCATTCACTACCCCATAATTAAGCATCAAAATATTAACCAATTAGCAGGAAAGATGTAAGAGCTCAAGGGGTAGTGATAATTAGACATGAAATCTGAACTTCTAAGGAGTTCAAAACAAACAGGTCTATCATACTCCATAAACTTAATACACCTGAAGAAAATGTATCAATTCATTTGGCAAATAAAATAATTTCATTGTTTTTCAGCTCACATCATCCGCTAGTTTTTACTCCTCTCTTTCCTTACTTCCTCATCCAAAAATAAATAAATACAAGTAGGGCATGTATGTTATATCAAGTGGGACATGATATAAATAAAATCCTAATGCATAAGCTTTGGAGTTCAATTTTTATGTGAAATATGTTTGGAAGGACACCCTTTCATTCTTAACGCACTGTTCTTGAGAAATGTATGACCTCATATACGCTATTGAAAAAATAAGGGAGAAATAAAAACTAAACTGCAACAATTGTTGTTCATGTCTAGTTGGTGCTGCTGACTATATTTTGTTAGTTCCAACATAGTCTGTGCATTTGAAAAGCTTCATATTGCTAGGTCTAAGCTCCATCAGGCAGGCATCATGCTGTAATGTGTGTGTATCCTCAGTGGTAGGAAAGCATCCAACATCCAACACATAGTAGGCACTTTATAAATATTTGTTGCATTAAGGAAGGAATAAACAAATGACCAAACACCAGATAACCATCTATTTCTATAAAGTAAATATTTCTAAGAGCCTTGCTTATCTACCTCCACATTTTCTAAGCGTTAAATTGTTTCAGATAATTTTTCCCAGATGTATATTCGTGTGTCAGCTTGAAAGATCTTTATTACATTGAAATTAGTATGTGAAATGTCTCGAAAACATATGGAAATATGTTTAGGAATACAGAAATAGATATCAGAAACCTGAGTTTGAGTGCCAGTTCTCGTACACAGTGGCTGAGAAATCTTGAAGAGGTCACCAGTGTGCCCGAGACTCATTTTATTCATCTGTATAATATTTTATTCATCTGTCCAGCCTACCTCATAGGGTCTTTATGAAGATTAAATAAAATATAATACATGTATATTATAACCAGGATGAAACAAAGAGACAACAAAAGCCTAAGTGTTTCCTCTTCAATAACCAGAGCACCCAGACCAAACATATTGTTGGAAAAGTCAAGATTGAAATGGTAAAATAGTGCCTTCCTGTCAATAGGGAGGCACCATTTGTGTCAACAGTATGACTAACAACAACAAAAATCACATATTTAATAGACTGAATATGGAAAGTTTGTGCAACCCTTAATGCCATTACATGGCCACCTCAGCATGAGGAAAGAGAAGAGTTCAGGGAGTTCACTTTGCAAATCAGTGCCAGCGACAGGCCTAGTAACAAAGCTTTGACTGTCCAATGAGCCCTTAAGCCTGCTGAGCAATGCTACTTCTTAAAAAGTGCTTCAGTAAGGTGGAACACAGTAAATTAGACAACATCCAAACTCACTGTCAAGGGTATGTACTGTTCTCTGCAAAAGCCAAGCAAAGAAATTTTAGCTCACAAGCGCACGGGCCAATGATTTTCAACCTTTTTCATCTCATGGCACATGTAGTGATTACTACAATTCTGCAGCACAACAAAAAATAGACGTTTTGCCAATCTGACAAAAAAAAACAGGTATAATTTTTATTCATTCACATTGGATGGCTTGTGTTGGCTGTTGTCATTTTTTAATTTGACACTCTAACGGAAAAGAGGTCAGTGCCCCTGACTAAATAGTCAGGAATTGCAGGTTTTAACAATTGTTGCGGCACACTAGTTGAAAATCACTGACATATTGTCTATTAACAATGATGTGAAAACATGATGGTTCTGTGTCTCCATTTTCATTCAGCTCTTGATATCTTTTGCAAGCTAAAGTTCTTGTAAAGGAAAAAATTTCAAATGTTATGTTAGCATTACAACAGGGAAAGGACAAAGACACACCATCTCATGATGTCTTAGATTTAGAATCAGCTACCATATGGAGCCCATAGTTAGTAACTTTCTACACTAACTTTTCTGCACTGGGAGGAAAAAAATGTTGCTAAGAAATCAAATCCTCTGTGTGTGTGTGTGTGTGTGTGTGTGTGTGTGTGTGTGTATCCACTCTAAAAACAGACACCTAATATTTTGGTATTTTCTTGATCTTAGTCTATGATAGGATGGCTTGAACAGTTTTATTCTATATTTATTCACCTTGTTTAAATTATAGAGCAGCACTATCCAATAGAAATATAATGTGAACAACACTACATTTGATTTTAAAATTTCTGGTAGCCACATTTTTAAAAAGGAAAATTAAAAAGATGAAATTAATTGTAACAATATTTTTCAAAATATATTTTATTGAGTTTAGAGAGAGGAAGGGAGAGGGACAGAAAGATAGAAACATCTATGAGAGAGAAACATCAATCAGCTGCCTCCTGCATGCCCCCTACTGGGGATCAAGCCCAAAATCCAGGCATGTGCCCTACCCATGACCTCTTGGTTCATGGGCTGACGTTCAACCAACTGAGCAACACCAGTCGGCCTTAATAATATTTTATTTAACTCCATATATTAAAATATTATCATTCTAATATGTAATCAATACAAAGATTATTGATATATTTACATTCTTTTCATACTTTTTCATAAGTCTTTGCAATCCAATGCATATATTTACATTACACCATACATGTCAATTAGGACACTATTCATCAGAAATACTACATCAGTTTTCAGATTTCATCAACTTGACAGTCAAAAAGTAGTACCACATACCAAGTTGTTCCAAGCATAGATAAAATGTTTCCAAAAACTAAATCAAGGACCAACTTTTAGAATTTAGTTCCTCAGTAGCATTAATCATACGTCAAGGGCTCATCAGCAACATGGGGTGCGGCTGTCACCTGAATCCATATCTACCACAATGAAAGATACCTTGCAGAACACCTCAGATATACTCTGTCAAAAGGCATTTGCAGAAATTGAATTTAAAATGTTCTCCCTAAATGAGAAACTTTCTGTTCAACTTCCTTTCCCCAAAGCTTTATATGACCCATGCACTTATTTTGAGAAACCTAAAATAGAGTCATTCACTTTGGCATACTGGTAAGTCTCTACATCTAATAAAACACAAGAATCTCTAGGACATTTTTGTTTACTTACACAGGTAGAGTCAACTCTATTTATTACCTGTTATTACATTATACATTGAAGGGGGAAAGCAGGTTAAATGCCCTGCTGGTGTGTGTCTATTTGTTGATTTATTTACCCTGCTGGTGAAGCTTATC